TGTGTGTGTGTGTGTGTGTGTGTGAGCGTGGTGGTTTGGAGTGGGGATTTTTCCTCTATTCACCTATTAAGCCTCCACTTGAAACTTGGCAGGGAGGAAACAGCCCCCCCACTGCTAAGGTCAGTAAATGCACCACACAGACAATTTAAAAGAACATGGTGCTTTCCTAAAAGTTCACTGTTGGATTCAAACTACATGTCTGTGTCTTTAAGCTCGTCACAGGCAGAAAGGACCTGTGGCAGTGCAATATATCTAATTATAGCTAAAATACAATATAGTACTGATAAAGTTTGTGATTTCATATTTTATATCAACAATACTCAATGTAGCTGTATCTGTAGATCAGATCAGGTCAGAATTAAGGATGAATACATTTAGGAAATTTGCCAATAAGAGTTTGATGTGAGGCTTTTCCTGGCAAAGACAATAGTGTGTGTTTCCCTTCATGTGTCCATGTTCTATTCACTCTAACTCATTAACATCCGGATTTTCAGGAATGGGGATGGATACAGTGGACATTCTCTCTCGGGTGAAATGACTGTCACCGGTTTTATCAGCTGTGGCTCTGATCGACAGTGATGAAAACATGACACCCTAAATTCTTCTTCTTCAGCTTTATTTTCTCAGTCAAAACGAAGCTGTGCACATTCTCCAGCGCAACATTATGACGTAAATTGGGTGGCTGTGGCTCAGGGATAGAGCTTGCTGGCCTTCAACCAATTATTTCAATAATTTCCCAAATTGGGATCAATCTATCTAACCAGATGGTCTGCGGTTTGTTCCCAGTTTTCCCCATTCCACATGTCAAAGTGTCCTCGGGCAACATACTAATCCCAAATTGCCCCAATGCTGTTCTCAAAGAGAAAGTGCTGACAATAAAAAAATGAATTGTACTGTAAAGTGCTTTGAGTGGTCATCAAGACTAGAGTGCTATATAAATACAGACCATTTAACTTCTCGGCATTGGCGCGTAAAAAGCCATGAACATTTGTTTACTTATTGTTTTTCTTATGTCTTGGGAACAATGTGCTACAGAGATTTTTTTTCTCCGTATCGACAGCAAGGTTTGTCACATGTAGGTTTTTGGCCCATTTGTGATGTTGAACGTGAGTTACCTGTGGGGAACTGCGTGACTCCCCTACTGTTGGTGTAAAGAGGTATACTAGCACATATGTGAGTGTACATTTTACCATAATCCTCTACCAAGGGCAAAAACAGACAAAGCTGCTGAAAGATGGTTGAGAGATGAATGACGGAGGACTCAGAGAAAACAGCAGAGGGGGGGTCTCACCTTGGACAGGCCTCCTACGTCCAGGTAGTAGCAGATGATAAAGACATTCCAGGCGACCCACAGAGCGGCCCATACTGTGTACTGCAGGGCAAAGACACACAGATTATAATGGAAACTCAACAAGCTGAACAGAACAGGATATGACAACTGTTGAAAACGTGGTGGGTTTAATGAATGAGCCCCTCAAGCAAGGTGTCCTCCAACAAACACACATGAATAAATACACACCTACACACTCTACACAAACACCACACATGCACTTAAGTTTGTATGTGAGACCTCATTGTTTTCAAAAGGGTGCCGGTAAGTTCAGCAAGTCTCTTTATGGCCTGAGGGAGATGCAGGTTTATAGACGGCTGAAGTTCACAACTCAAGCGTTTGCAAAATTGTACAGTGAGACAGTCGACTGTTGAAAGAAACGCAGTGGTAGAGAGGTATTTACTGTCAGAGAGAGAGAGTCATCAGTGTGGAGGTTGTGAAATCCTCTGACTGCCGATGAACTGTGTGTTTAAAATGTCAGAGGAAGAGCGGAGGAAAAAACAGCCCCTTTGGAAAAACATACATGTTGAATCATGAAACCGCTGAACTTGCCCTCTCACCAATTTTCCACTTGACATGAGACAATAGCTCTACTTTCCCTCCTCCCCCCAATCCCTGCTTCCTCTGTTCCTTCATCCTGTGTGGCTTCCATTTATTCTCCTCCACCTCCCCTGTCTCTCTTTATTCACTCTCCCTTCCTTTGTATCTCTTTCTCGCTCCCCCAATCTTTTCCTGTCATTAACATCACCATCTGTGCTTCCGCTAATGCAGCTCAAAATAGGCTATTTATGCCTCAGATGAATGTTATGGTGTCAAATAAAAACTGAAGTGCGTAAAAAGCACTTTGGTGGAGCTTCATGGCGGCGCTTTCTAACAAAAGCAGCGAAGCAACTTGTGGCACGTGCTTTTCAACGTGTTTCAGAGAACGACCTTCTCCGTCCAGCAAGTCGGAGCAGAGTATAAATCTGATGAGCTCCTTAGCCAGCCCACCCCTTTTTAATTAGCCCTAATTACCATGGGATTTGAGTGATTTAAGGGTGTCGCACAATGCCGGAGAGACTGCAGCACAATTTGCAATTAGCAAGGAAAGTCAACAACATGTCCAATCTATGAGCACAAGCACAGACGCAGGACTAATGCAAAGTGATGTGACGCTGCTTAACAGAAACCGTGAAGGAAAGGATTATGTGACTGCACCAGGTTTTCACACGTTCTACCAGTCGTCAGCGATGTGTACTCACCACCACAATGTAGCGCGGCCGGTACTGGATGGTACCAAAGAGGCCGAGGATGACGATGATGATGTGGACGAAGTTGGCGAGGATGGGGGCCCACTGGTAACCGAGGAAGTCAAAGACCTGTCTCTCTAAAGCCAGCAACTGAAGGGTGAGAGAGAGAGACAGAGAGAGAGAGAGAGAGAGAGAGAGAGAGAGAGAGAGAAAAGGAAAAACAATTGTCATCAGGTTCATATGTTCTGGAAGAAAAAAACGTCTCACCTGCTGTGAGAGTGAACCGAGCAACATGCTGGGATTGCACAAACCAAACATGGCAGAATACAAAATAAACTCTGCCAACATGTCCATGCACTGTTGATACTTTATTGAAGACAATATACCTCGCAGCCACTACCCACCAATGAGGGGAATGTCATGCACAGCCCTGACGACAGCATCGCCTCGAGGTGAAGACTAAAAGTTCTAGAGAACAAACATCGACAGATATATCGATTCGTCTCCCGCTGAGCAGAGGAGACGCTCACTGTTTCCAACAGTCCTGCCAGTGGCCTCCAGGAATAATAAAGTTCTGGGAACATGGCGGGAGGTGAGAGCCCTGCTTCATAACACCACTGCAGAGAGCTTAGATGCTTATTAAAATATTTGCTTGCAAACAACCTACACACATGCACGTGTACAAGCAAAGTTAAACCCTGTGAAATGAAAAGCCACCGTTTTCTCATTACAGACTCAACCATCTTTACATCATTACTGATATATAGTTCTTTTTAGATAGAGAAGTAATTGTAAAATCTACCTAAAATGAAAAAATCTCAGTAATTTGATATGTTTAATACATTAATATTTTATTTTCTTACTTTAAACCTGGCTTCCATAACACTTCTTTGTATTACGGTTTTCAGGTCCCTACAACAGAGATGTTTGGAAACACTGCAGCCATGATTCATATTGAAAACTCCCGGGTTTTGTTTAAGTCTCCACTGAGACTTAAAGAAAGAACACAACGTATTACAAGCTTTGTTCACCCTAACTGTCAGTGACAGTTCCACCTTGTTGTTAGTCCAAGTAAAAAGATCCTTGGTCTTTCTTTTAACCTTTGCTGTTCCTCATTCGTTGTATCTTCTGCAACTACAAAGTGGACAATCTGCCTCCTGTTTACAACAGCACGCGCATGCCCAGTGTATGTGAATATACAAGATTCATGTGATTTGCCTTTTCAGGTGCATTAGCATGGACAGAGATCATTAATGAGATGCAGGTAAAACACTTGTCTGGACTGAGTATTAACCTACGACTGTGAGTCAGTTGAATTAGCATTCCATTTGGGGCAAAATACAGGGATGGGTGTGAACCATTTAATTTAAATTCCTTTGCCAGTCCAATTCCAGTCTATCCCATTCCAAGTGTGTGTGTGTGTGTCTGTGTGTGTGTGTGTGTGTGTGTGTGTGTGTGTGTGTCCTGCGAGCAATGATGTGTTTTGTTGTGTGTCGACATGTCATTCCCAGCCAAGCGCTTGAAGATGGATGAGGGAAGGAGGAATCTCTTCTCTGCTGCAATGATAGGAACGCACCAATGAGCACGCGCACAAATGCGCACATGCACACACACACAAACACACACACACCAAATGCTCGATACACAGTGATGGCTGCTCTTCCAAATGTAATGGATTTGTTACCAGCAACCCGATGAAACATTGTGACAGGCAGGGGAGGGTGATGATCAAATCCCAAGTGATAATTAAAAATGAACACACTCTCACATGGAGGGCGGTAACTCCACAGACAGGGTGTGAAGCGACAGGGGGCGTGGTGTGTGAACTGCCACCTGCACCGAACACAATCATACAAAAGTCAAAGAGAGAGCCTGTCAGTCAGAAAAAAAATAATCTAGTAATGGCAGGAAAACAGATGGAGATGGATGGAGAGGAAATAATGAAAATGGAGAGATGAGAGAAAATCACAAATGAAGTATGTGTAGAACGACTGAGCTTCCCTCTCCCTCTTAATAACCTCTGTCTGTCCCCTGGATGGAGAAGAGGCTGGAGGGAATGAATAACATCACGAGTCGTCTGGGTCAATGTTTGAGAGCTCAATAACACTCACGCAGGAGGGTGTCAGCAAAGATGGCTCACAGCTGGCCTGCAGGTAAACGGGCTGAGAAGACCTAAATGGTTTTCTAAAAACATATTTTTTTTATTTTAACAGCCTCACGACTTTTAACTCATCCAGTTCAAACATCCAGTGAACCACAGCTCTACAGACAGAAACACCATCTTCATAAGACATCAGAGGAGACAGGTTGGTTGGAGCTGACAGAAAGAAGATGATAACTCAGATAATCATGGTGAGCACAACAAGTTAAACCTTGCAGCCAATGGCAACAGCAGAACAACAGTCAACCAAGAACAGAAACCTGGGGCTGCAGGGGACACAGACTCAGCAGGACTGGGAAACAAAGACTGGTCTGAAGTATCTGGATTTCTGCTGAGGCTGCAGATATGATCCTAACCTGTCTTGTGTCAGTCCACACAAGGTAAGCTGGAACAACAGGATTCAACAGTATAACTGTTAATTGATTATAAAACGTGTTTTTGAATATATGGTCTTCTGCATCAATTTGTCATGTCAAGATCTAACAAACTGTGGCTCCCTCCACACGATTACAGAAAACAGATATTTTTTAATTTTAATTTAGTGTAATTCAGGTTTATTGTTTCAAGTCTAAAACGTCGGTCACAATCATTTTTCTTTTTGTCAAACACAACTTTCTGCTCACTACTATTCAGACAACAGAAACACACACCATGTCCTTTGCACACGTAAAATCCCACATGGATACCGTCCCATTACAGATATATTGTCATGTTAAAGTCCATGAACCCTCATCCATCCAACTACACATTCATTAGATCCCAATACATTCATTATACATGGCCATGGACCCTTTCCCTCAAAGATTTCAAACAGTTGTTGAATCAGAGAGGCGTATATGCTTGAGGGGCGTGCGTGTGTGTGTGTGTGTGTGTGTGTGTGTGTGTGTGTGTGTGCGTGCATTCTTTCCTTTGGGATGCTGCAGTGAGCCTATCACGTTCGCTGCTAACTCAATAATCCACCAAGATGACAACAATCAATCAAGGACATAAAGGTCTCTGCCCACCCTGGACACACATACACACACAAACACACACACACAAACACACACATACACACATAAAGCCATCTTAGACAATTAGCCCACAATTCATAGGGAGCGGGTTACTGCAGAGTGGGGTAGAATTTAATAAAGAGATACCAATGCTCTTCCAGGAATAGTGATCCGGCTACATAACGGCCTGTAAAAGCCTCCCGCTGACCTCCTGCCAGCACAAGTGACTCCCACTGCGGTGACAGAATCTCTCAGTGTGTATTTTGGTTTCGGATGTGTACATGTGGAGAAGCATGTTGCCCACACATACCAAGCCCACCATAAATATTTAGCAATTAGGGGGTTGAGAACAGCAGCAGGAGGCAAAAACCTCCTCTTGCACCCCCACTAGAGCCCATCCTCTATCATTCTGTCTATTCTATAGTTTTATTTTCTACCAACTACCTTCAGCCATGTGATAACAGATCATTAACAGAGATCATAGAGCTTAATTTTGCTGCGTCTGTTAGAGGACACCAGCTTGTGTACATTCACTCAGTTCTTTGAGATGTAGAAAAATGAGCAATGAAGAACACACAAGTGGACACGGCCTTACACCATAAATCCTCCTCTCCTTAATGCACGAATCGTTAATATCAAAGCCCCAGAACATTTCGATCATCACCACCTTCCTATACAAGCCATGAAGAAGAGAGATACACAGATGAAAGAGTGATGAGAGGATCAGAGCGAACGTGTCTGAGAGAAAAACGACGCTTGATCCACATCGTCTGAGAGGAGCTAATTAAGATGTGTGTGTGTGTGCTCAAGATAAGTGGCTGAAATGCAGGAAATAACATTTTGCATGGCCTCAGCATCTAACAGGGATTTCAAACACAGACTGAGCTTAGTGATATGCATCCAATGAGCGGGTACGAAAACTGCCATCTTTAACATTTGGAGCCAGAGTCCTTGCAGTTGACTTTTTAGTTTGGTCACATCCACTAACATGGAGGAGGCCAGATTTATGACCAATACTTGTAGCTTTGTAAAATATAGAGATTATCTGCACAACAGCTGTGTGCAAAGAGAAGAAAGTTAAGGTGAATGGTCTTTGTGTTCTTTCATAAAAGAGTGACGTGATAAAACCCCATTAATTAATTGTCAGTTGATGAGACCCAATCAAGAAGAGAAAGTGTGAGACAGTGTAATTCAGGCATGAACAAAGCAAAAGTGAGGTGTTGTAAAAGTAACGTATTGAGGACGTAGACACAGAGGTGGCAGGTCACTCATACTGAGATGGTGTGAAAGTGTGAGGGGGACCAGACGACACTCCCCCAGAGACAGAGGACAGACTTGACTGGTGACTCTCTCAGCTCTCGACCGTCGCCTCCAGATAATATAACTCACATCAGTGTTTCTCCTTCTGTGTCCTCTGTGAAATGTCCTTTGATAACATGTTACTGAATGTGTCATCCGGATCTGTGGATTCGAAAAGCAGGTGTGTGTCTGTGTGTGTCTGTGTGTGTGT